TCCTTCCTTCCTTCCTTCCTTCCTTCCTTCCTTCCTTCCTTCCTTCCCGCCTCCCTCCCTCCCTCCCTCCCTCCTTCCCTCCCTCCCTCTCTTACTTTTCATCTATCAACCACTTATTTATCTTTCTATCCATGCATCAGTCATCTTTTTATCTATTAATCCACCTATCTATTTATCTATCTTCCTTTTCAGCAAGAAAGGCTACTTCAGTTTAACCACAATAACCGCAGGGGATATGATTATTTCCTGTCTTAAGTAATTCAGAATAAAGGAAGTTTCAAGTCACACAAACTGTGACAAATTATAGGATTTCATCCTGTGCTGGTCAAGTACCTTTCTCTTTCACCAATAGTAATGGGAGTTGAAGGTGTTCAGCACTTCTGAGGACATCTGACAGTATGTGCTCAAAATTTATGAAAGAGCTGTAAGAAATACCCTCATGTTGGACTGTGGCTTTTAAAGGAAATCCTTGTTTCCACTTGTTGGTTTATTGCTGTCACTTGTAGCCAACTTTTCTCCACTGTAGGCGTTAATGACAAATTTTCTATCCCAAATTTCACAATGCATCCTTGTTTGTTAAACTTTCTTGTTAATGGTATTTCTCAGTTACAGTAACAAAAAACTCCACCTCCCTTAATTTGTCATTACAATCATTTTCTTGTGATAAGGTAAGAGACCCAAAGGACCTGGATACTATTCAGTCATCTTACTGAGGTACAAACGAGGGCAACAAACTTTAAGAGATGGGGAGTATGACTGAACTGATACAACAAATGTCATGTGCATTTACCCAGAAACAGAGAATGTCTTTTTTGAGCTCTGCTTTCATTTTAAAACTGAAATGTTTGGTTGTCTCAATAGCTTTACACCTAGAAGGCATTACCCTCTGATTATATACATAGTGTAGGTAATGAAATACAACCCCCTGTTCAGTGGTTCTTGCACCATGCATAATTCTTAATGATACGAGAGGATTCTTTTCAAAAAAGTATTTTGTCTGATTTGAATATAATTTTGTAAAAAATCAAGGCAATACTGTGAGGAGATTTGATATGATCTGGGAGAAGCTGGTATTCTTTGCTGTATAGCAGCAGGACAAAGACAATGAAAGCAGCTATGTTAAGACTAGTTGCACCTATCTTTGCACATTTATTAGTTGAGCATTTCTGTGCAGAAAATGGAGAAATACGTCTCTCTGGAAAGTAATTCAACCAGCTGTCTTAGGATAGGATGAACTGCCTCAATAAGTAGTCTCTTGTTGTCTTTACTGAGCATAGAAAAGATTAAACAACTGATTTAGAATATATTTCTAGTTTCAGCTAACAGCTCAAGCTACATTACTTTTTGCTTAGAAGAGACTTGTGTGCCAGCTGTGGAGTCCTGCATTACTCAAAGCTAGTGTAAGGCTTTTGCTACTTGACCGCTTGCACAATGCAGCAACCAGTTCCCACTGCTCATGGGAGGAAGGCCTCAGTGGAGTTTCTCACAGACGATGTTTCACAAATACGTCTGTAGTGAGCCTTGAGGCCTGAGAAAAGAAGTAGCTGTAGAGCAGCTGCTGATTGCGGTTTCTTTTTTATCTTTAGTTTTGGTTAGAGTTAAAGGATGCTGATCTACCTCGTGACTTCCTTTGTAGTCTTAGAGTAGGTTTTATCCAAATTGCTGTCAGGTGACCCAAGGTTTCACTCAGGAAGTCACTGTCCTTCCTCACCACATCAGCAGTACCAAGTCACACTACAAAGAGCTATAGCAATCTTCAGTACTTCTGCAGCATGGTCATCTTAGCATGATAACCATCAGAGATTCAGCTCTCCAAACTGCTCGCTCTGTTGGTGTCTATATGTGAGTTAACTGTCTAGGCTTGCATGATATCAACAGAGATCTAACCAGTATGGTCAAATGGCATTTATTCTGACCACATGTAGGATGTAAACTTAGGATGAGATCTGTACTGCTCTCAGAAGCTCACCAAATGTCTTGACAAAAACCTTTGACTTCCATGAGAGCCTACGCATGAGATCACATGAAAACTCTTAGGCTGCAATTCAGCTGCCTAAACAGGGTTGTAAATTGTCTTTTCTCTCTTTCTTTAAAACATAACCACCTCCTTACCCTTTCTCTCACATTTAACATTTTCTCTGCTCCGTAAGAACCCCTAGTTACAATTTCTAGAGGGGTATTAGTGGTTCTGCTGTAACTCTGAGGATCTGTTCACATCTGAAAGGAATATATAACCCAATTTTCTATTTTTTAATTTAATCTTGGTCTGGAAAGAAGTATTATCTTCCCTCTAATCTCCTGCTGATATGCCTGGAGACAATCTCTATTAAAGCAACATAATCAATTTAAATTTATATATTTTTGAAACAATTGTTGAATTAATTGTTCAATAGCACTAGCTTGCACAAGAAAAATATTAAAAAGAATTGCCACTGATGTGTTGAATTAAATAATGGGTATTTGAATGACTCTGTGAGAACAAGACTCATATAAATGAATTTAATTAAAGTTTTTTATTTGCTGTAATTTAATTACTTTTCTTTTTTACATATGATATTCCTTTTAAGACCTAATCTCCATTTTCAGTTATACAGTTTCTTATCTTCAAACACTTGTAGACAAATTTTTACTCTTGAATTTAATGGAGGTGAGAATTACTAAGCCTGTTCTTTATTTACAAAGGATGTAATTTAACAGACTTCCAATACAGACAAGTGAGTAATGAAAAAAATTATGAGGATATATGATCTTCTCTCAGATTCCTATTATTTCTATTGCAGTAACCCAGAATCTTCCTCTAAAGGTTTTGGTTTACTGCATTGCATAATGCAGATGAAGTATGAGAAAATGAGTTTTGTTACGGCCATATGGCTTCCAATGTTATCAGCTGAGCTACAAAAAGAAAGAAAGTGAATAAGACCATCAAAGACCATTTCAATTGAAGATATTTGAAGAAAAGTGTGGTAAAGCTGGATGCAAAGCTGTATTTTTAATGAATTTCTTGTTTGGCCAAGGATTGTAATTTTTAAAGTGAGACTTTCAGTTCATCCTTTATTCCAGCAAAATTAGGAGGGATTTAGTAGGTAAAAAGATGAAATAGTAAGCACTTGACAGAGTGCTTACAAATACAAGTACAAATGAGGTTTATCCCCCCCTTGTATAATATGATCTGACAGATCAGGGTAGAGGTTTCAGCAATCTCTTGTACAATATTATATTTTTCAGTTTTAAATTTGGTTCTTAAATCTAAAGGCATGAGGGGAAAAGATGCCTGTGTTTGCAAAGAGCTGTGCTGTGGAGGAAAGGCTCAGATTGGAAAGTGAAGAAGAAAAGAGAGAGCAAAAAGTGGAAGTGGGATTTATGGACTGACGTTCATGAGTCCCAATTACCCATAATATTTTCACCAGAGCCGGCATGGGGCAATGGAACTCAGAGCCTGCTAGTTGTTCCTCTGCTTGGCATGGGAAAAATATTTGCCTTTTCACACCAGAGTATGCCTTTTAGTGTTGAAACTGGAGTTTGCTCTTGAATATTAGCGCACATAAGGGAACAAGGACAAGAAGATATGACAAACACAACTTATTAGGAATATTTAATGCAGCAGGTAAAAGTGTAATAAGTTATATAAACACATTTGTACAGTTAATAATTATTAAAACTAGACTTCTACGGAATCCAGGCAGAAATCCATTCTGACCTATTAGTCATGAAATACTGAAAAATTCAGCACATAAAAAATACAAAATATACACATAAAAATACGCAGTGTGCATGTGAAGGAGAAACACAATCATTGCAATTAACAATTAAACCAGCTAATGCTCTTCATTTGATTGACAATCCGTTTGGTGCGAGGATCAAACTGGAACTGCTTTGTTCCATGGAAGAAGTACACATAGCCTGGAAACAAAATTAAATCCAATTACATTTCATATACGACTTCTTTTTGGTATTCTGGGGGAAAAAATCAATAAAAACTCTCCATGCATACTTGCTATTTTTCATTTCCATCTCAGCTGCTATGTTTAGGGGCTAATAACAGGGTTTTGAAAATAAATGATCCTGTCTACAGTACGACAGATATTCAAACTCAGTTTAAAGATATTTTTTTACTTACCATCTTTCTGGAAAGCAGCATCAACTCTGCCAATTTTTCCAAAGTCAGAGATTATTTTTCTGGGATAACCATGATCCATGGATTTTTTGTTTTCATCGTATCTGAGCACACAAAAAAAGCCATAATTACCACTTGTAGTGAAGCAGATAACATTTTAAAACTTCAAAGCAGGTCCATACATGTATACAACTCTGCTCTTAGAGTGAAGTCTCATAAGGATAAACTAAAGTAGATTTTGATTTTTTCCTGTTATGTAATAAGGTTCTGATGAGTGTCTGAAAACCCTTCCTGCAGGGATGTTTGTAACAAAACTCTCAAGGATCCTGGGAATGAAGCCCAGGAACATACTAATGATTTTCAGGCTAAGCTAACACCTTGGCCATCACTGCATCTACAATGTGTTTCTATATCTAGCTGTTGGATATCCAGTTTAGTCTAAAATGGTAGCATATAAAGGAGGAGAATAGAGAAACTGAAGCACAGACCTGAAACATCTTTGTTATATTACTGTCAATCATGTACTTGTTAAACAAAGTTACTCTCTGAAATTTATCGCAATCTGCACTTAAGTTACAAATCATGCTAACTGTACAACTGTTGATGATCCATAACTTGATTATTCAAAGGAAAATTCAGTTACAACATTTTTAATTAATAGTTCATTTTGCTTGAAATGTGACTGAAAAGTGTACACTATCATAACATTACACAGAAAAGCAACACTATTGTGAATAAAAAATGAATAAGTTTGCTATAAAATAACTGTTTCAACAGACAGGTATTCCATCTGGTAGCAAGTACTTACATTGCCACAACAGGAATGTAATGAATGGCAAACAAAGCTTTGGAGATACTGACATTTCTTAGCAAATGCTATAGTTCTTTAAACTTTCAGACAAACCTGCTTGAATTTCCAGAGTATACCTGAATATCATAGCTTAATTTATATTAATTATATCAATTTTCAGAGACAAGTAAAAATATTCTTTCTGGTAGACAAATATTAAATCTCACCTCCAGTATCTGTCAGCTACAAAGAAATATGTTTTTCCTGTGATCTCATCATTGTAAGCTGCATTCACTCTTTTAACAGTCTTTGGGAATCCCAAACGATAGATTGGTTTGGGATAGCCGTATGCAATGTCGTATCCTCTGATAACCCAGTACTTATCCTCTGAAAAATATAAGCATGTTTCATTTGGTTTTGTTATTAATAAACATTTAATTGCATTTTAGATGGGAAGAACGTGAATTGGCTTCATGATATAATTTCTAAAAAATACATTTTGAAATATCTTTCCAGAATTTTTCCTTTACTAGTCTAAGAAACTTATTATCTCGCTCTGTCTTAAACTAGGCTTCAAACTTTTTTGGTAAGAGTCCTATTAGACCATCTTGTAACAATATATTCCAAGCTGACAGTGAGAAGAGTAATGGTGATGTGCAAATTCCTCTATTTACCAGCTGAATTACTTGTTAGAACTTAGCAAAAATCATGTGAAATGTTGTTATATGAAGAGAACTAGATGTGAAGAAGGGAAGCTAGTTTTATGTCTTCTTTTTCACAGCACCGAATAAAGCACAGCAAGGAGGTTTTTTTAGGATTATGACCTCTGGAGATCTCTTCCAGAATTATAGCTCTATCAGGCACAGGTTCAGCAATCTGGAGCTTTGCAAGAGACCTTGTTTCACTGACCTTTGTTAAAGAACTACTTTAACCTCTGAAATTGCATAATTTGCAAAGGTTATGAAGGAACTCGTCAGAAAAAGTAAAGAATTTCAGATGCCATTACCTTTAAAGAGTAAAACTTCATCCCTTTCAATGTTCTCATAAGCAGCTTGAATTCCTGATGGCAAATTTGGCCAGAACACTGAGATAAAATTTAACTCTGTCTCTGACCACTCAGGATGTTTGCGCAGCATGTACCTGGTTTGAACAAAACGTGTAGATTAAAATTGTTCCACTCTTCACAGATGTCAGACAATGATTATAGCTCCTGGAGTATAACAGGAGAGAGACAAGTACCTCCACTTTGTGATATATTCTGTCTAATGTCAAAATGACCTTCTGGGTACATATCCCTCTCCAATGAATGTAAAGGATGTCTAGAGCGGCTGCAATCTGAACTTTAGAACCTCCATACCAAAAATCAAGCAAGATAAATATAAGACCTTCTATTTCTCTATAGGGCAGGAAGGCTGATCACTGGTGTCAGTGAACACCTAGTATGTCTTTCTATGTACTAGTACTTCCAGTGGTGGCTTTGCTCTTGCATGGGTGTACAGTAGAAGGCTTACATGGTGGGACACATGAGCACATCACAGAATCACAGAATCACATCATCAAGGAATGTATGAATACTGTTGCTTGCTATTAGTTGAATCTAGTTCAGAGCCAAGTCTAGCACAGCAATGGCCACAATGGCATATTTAGAAAAAAGACGACCAGCCTTGATCTCCTTCACTGCTCTTGTCAATTATGACTCTTGCACTTAACAAGTTAAGAACTCTTTCTTTGGTAAATAGGTACATAATGGTTTTATAGTCTTTCTCTTTGTACTATTTCAAAATGATAGTTTTCCCTCATGGATTACTGATTTTTTTTAAAGCTACTGAATACATTTAAGAGATGATATATGTGCTTATTGGTATTACCTGCCCTTAAAGAACATCATTTCTCCACGCAAAGTGGTAATGGCATCAAATGTCAAATTAGGGTCACAGACTTGTGGAGTTGTGGGCCCTGTAGGCTGCACAGCATCATTAGACTGTCCTAAAGGAAGGAAAATAAAATAAAAATCTTTCAGTTTGTATTTAGGGAAATATAGAATAAACACAGTGTTCAGAAGGTGTCCATGGTTGTCAAGGATCTTCTTTAAAAGAAAATGAAAGGGCGTATCATTGTATACTGAATATCTGTCATAAAACCCAAACTTTTAACACTGTTAAAGGACTTGAGTTCATATTTCCAAGATTTTTTTTCCAGAGCAGCTCTTCAGCTGAAGGTAGCCTCCAGGTTTTTCCTTATCTTGTTATCCATTGTTTAGAACACTTAGACTTTGCATGTAGGTGAAATAAACATTTTTAAAATATATTCTTATCATTATTCGCCAGCCTCCAAATAGAAATATTAAAAAATATATATATTTATTTCTTACCATATATGGCTTGAATGCCATCAATGTCATCCTGAGGAAGAAGGAATTCTTTGGGGTCTGTGTAAGCATAATTTGGATACATCAGTGCTCCAGGATCATTTGAATGGGACAAACCCAGTGAGTGGCCAAGTTCATGGGCAACAACAATGAACAAGTTGTAGCCTGTGAGATAGAAATCATAGGAAACAGATAAAATCTGTTTTAGTATTTACCACAGTATTTATAATTGAAAAGAGTTTTATGCAACTTACCAGAATGTGCTACAGCTGCAAGACAGGCTATAAGTAATTCTATCCACATTATAACTCAAAAAATATTGTAGCTGAAGATCTATATGAGTGTTTGAAGATGTTGGACGTTCTGATTATGATTTCTTTACTCTATCTCCAGAATCTTTGTATCTTAAACACAATCCCTATTTCTCCTGCTATTGCATAAACTGCTCAGAATCAAAAATCATTCCAATGATTTTGAAAGTTCAGTGATTCAAGAGAACAATATTTCACAACATAAGTTTTGATGACATTTGAATTCACTAGTTTGGAACACTGAATTGCTAGGTGAAGAAAGATTCCTACCAATGAATCACTGGCAAAAAATAAAAAATAAATGAAAAAGACAAGCTCTGCCACTCTTACTCACTTTTTATTTGCAATTAGCCTTATGAGCTAACTACCACAGGAGAAAAATTGTACAAGGTAAAACTGTGTAAATGGATTTGGTCTCAGCCTTTACCTCTTCCATCTTTTGTCCAGGTTTCCTCGTCATCCATATGCACGTCTCCACCAAGACCTTCTCCTGGTTGAAAAGCATGAGCCAGCAGCCCATTAGGGCCATCAAAAGGAGAGTTGTCATTGTGATCTAAAATGAAGAGTAAAAAATCATTTAGAATCCCAAGTTATTTCAATGATTTCGGATGTCTATGCAATATGTAAAGATATCAATTTTACCTCTATAAGCGAATGAGATCATTATATCTGCAATTTTGTCCTCAATCTTTTGAAATGTCAATGGTGTCACACTACTCCAGACATTCAGAGCTTTCTGGATTGCTTCATCTACATCAGTTTGTTTCATCTTTCTGGTGTAATTCACAATCCTTCAAAGGAAAATGAAAGCATTACATAATGCTAAAAATACAAAGTTTCAATTGAAAAATATTCATTTATATATATTATAATATAATATAAATTGTAAATATATTACAAAAGTAATATATATTAAGTATATCTTTCATAAGTACAAATCAATAATGACTTAACTTTAGATAATGCCTTCTAGAGTGTCTGTTTCTTTCTAGAAATCAGTTAATCATTCTAGATGTCATTTTGGATAGGTCATAATGCACTTCAGGCCCCCCAAGCTGAAATGCTAGATTTACATTTATTTGAAGAAGATTAGGAAATGTTACCTGTATGTCAGATTAGTCTTCTTCCATTTTGGATTCCCTGCTGTGAAGACGTATTGCTCTACATCAGGAACACCACACCTGGGTTTATTCATCATCTCCAAAGTGTCACGATCGACTTTCCCAGTCACTTGTAGTCCAAAGAATTCCTGCATTTCCTTGAGCTTTTCAGCAAGATGATTTTTACCCCCCTGCCTTAGATGATGCCGATGATCTTTTTGAAGATTGTAGAAATTCTGTAGATAAGTCTGAACGAGAATTTTTTAAAAGAAGAGTATTATGACACATCAGTATTGTCTTCAGTCACATTTATGTTTCCTAAATCATCTTGAACTATTCTATCCTGAAGCCTTGTGTCTACCAAGGGCTAGAGTTGCTTATTTTTTTCCCAAGAATCAGTGTGAAAAGGTAGATATGACTTAAAGCTTTCACAGTTACCTGAATTACTTCTTTCACTGATTGACTACATGGAGAACTTGTATTTAAAATCTAATATTTGCTATTAATAATTAATTCCACATTTATTTATTATAACCCGTTATTTTAGTAGCAGAGCTTTTAAGGAAGCTTATAACTTCACATATCTCATTCAAGGAAATATAAATTAGCAGTGAAGCTGCAGACACAGGACTCCTGACAAAGTCAGTGAACAGAACAAGAGTCAGCACTTGGCAAATCTTGTCATTTATTTTTAGCTATGAAATATGACTTGAGAAAACCAGATATTCCTAATAAATTTCAACAACTTTTTCTCCAATAGTTAGTGATACATCTGTATAATTGCTGCATTTCTTGAAGATGCCTAAAAAAAATTCCGTGAAAGATCAATTCGAACAAATACTGAAATACACACATAATTCAAATGAGTTTCTTTCCCTGTGTTACAAAGGCTGATCATGTCACAGTTTTCAAAGCACATTCTGAAATATAACCTGTTCCTGATTTTGACTAATTCTGCACAGCCATGCAGCCTTGAGACTAGAACTTATGCTTCTGTATTATTTTTAACATCTTACTGACAACATCAAAGTGAAGTTGTGCAATTTCAGATCACACATAGGTAAGTAATTTCAAGAAAATTCTCACAAAAATTTCAGGTTAATAGGAAAAGCTTTCTCTTGAAACCTTTGCAAAATGAAACGCCTCTATTTTCAAGTCACATTCTTTGAAAATAATTCTGGTTATCCCTCCGACTACTTTCTGTTTCATTTAGAAATGCAGTAGAAAATGTTTACCTCCACAAGATCTGTATTTTTTCCTTCATCTTCTTCTTCAGGAGCCACAGGGAAAGCAGAGGAGGCCGTCACATACATCAAGAGGAGAAGAGAAAAGGCCTTCATTCTTGTCAAAGGTTCTGTGCTTCAGCTACGCTGCGAAGTCTTGACCTATTGAACACGTTTCTCAGCTCTGTTTATATAGCTAAATTGTAAATCAGTGACAGTCTGACTCATGCTGCATAATATCCTCTGATCAGTAAAAATGATGCATAACAGTTTCGTCATTAGGGAGTGATGAAATGAGTTTAACTAATGTTACCATGCTTTTTTTTTTTTTCCTGAGCCTTCTGTTTTGGGCAATTTCATAGTGTTTTTAATAAATAAGGAAGTACTCACCAGATAAAAGCTGGAATTTCATTTCATATACATGAAATATATATGAAATTTATAATGCAATTTGTGGAGCAAGTTCTTGATATACTGGAGCTACAATATGAAATAAGAGATAGCAGTAACATAACATTGCATTTTACTGTAATCAGTAAAAACATATGTTCTCTTTCAATAAATAATAAAATACACTTAGTCAAAATAAGTATCAATAACATATAAAAGAAAATGCAAATAACTGATCTGGGAATAATTAGCATCATAAATTCAGGTGACTTGCCATGAGATAATTAGCAGTTCTGTCTGAAACAATCTTGTGCTGTTCCCAAAACTGAGAGCTAAAATGGTTCAACAGTTTTTGACTGACGTTTAACAAACAGTCAGGTTACTGGAACACATAAGCTATGTTTCCATATACATGATAAACAGAATAATGTTTATACTCTTGGAAAAAAAAATGCAATGGGGTGTTTGGATCCATGCACAGAGATGTTCTTTGATTGGGAAGACTACATGAAGCTCAATGGGAACATTTGTGTATCTTGAAAATAAAGATTGAAAACCATTTTGTGACACTGTGTTCCCTGTTTCATCAAGGAGTCGGAACTGTTGTTAAATAAATGAAGAGCTGCTCCTGAAAGACAGGCTGTAAATGTTTTCCAAGAATCCACAGTGGTCTTAAACAAGAGTGATTATATGTAGACATAGGGTTTGGCTAACTGAGTATTTGTGCAATTTAAGGCCTTCTAGGAAATCCCACCTGACCTCCAACTACCCTGCAAGGATGTAGGTCTTCATACTTGCCATGTTATGGCAGCAAGCCTCAGGTGTGTGTCTCAGGTATGACCAAATGAACGATGCTCTGATGTAGAATCAACTTTAAGTGATTTGATGCATAATATCTCTATATGTAATGTAGGAATATGAGCTTCCTTTTTGAAAATGGATTATAGGGAATGATTCTACTGATCATCTGGTACAGATTTTAAGATCAACAGAAGCTGACTGTATTGGCTAAGTTTATGCTGAAATAAGAGGATTTTACATATGTGGGGTATGTGGGTACCTATAGTGCAGACCCCTAATTTCAAGAGAGCATTTCTAACTGCTAGAACAGCTAAGTACCAGAGTAGATGACCTGAAGGGGCTGCAAGCTTGCTAACTCTGAAAGTTGTCAGGCTGAATCTGGTGCTGTTCTCTTGCCAGAGAAACTGTGGAAACAACTATAGGTTTCTCCCAGTACATTATAAAATTTTTTGTGTGTGATTAAATGTCATAAAAAGGAAAAATAAAGGCTAGTGTGAGATGGGAAAAGGCAAATACGTACGACTCTTCTTTATTTCTGATACCTCAGCAGGGTTTGATCTGAAGAAATATAATGCAGGGTGAAAACTTCATTGTTCTGGAATCACTGAATTTTGGAATATCCCAAACTGGAAGAGACTCACAAGGATCACTCCAAAGAAGTTGGAAATACCCTTCAGGAAGTATTCTAATTAGTTTCTCAAGTCCCAAGGCTATGTAACTACTATATAGTTCTACTATCACTGCAGCGCAGCATCCCCCACCACACTGAAGGTTAACAGAGCAGATACTACTCCTGGAAAAGTAAATTTCTTTATACTTCTTAATGTTTGTCATATTTCTTATGTGGAGTTATTGAATAAAAATAATACTGAACATTTCAAAGCAATAATACATTAAAATCATGGAATACATTGAAGTCATTGAAATAACTAGGAAGATGATTCTGGAAAACAGCTTTTACAGATTTAAAGAGATTCAATTTCATGATTCACTTTCCTATTAAACTTCATTGTTAATGCTGGATACATCTGCAAAGTCTGAACGACTCAAATGAACCTGGGATTAGTGAAATGTTCCTTAAATTCTGTTCTGCTATATAGTTCTGTTTCTGAATTAGTGTTTCTCCTTAATATTTATTCCCCATGTATTTCTGTAGGCTTATTCAAATTTAGATCTTGAGTTAATACCCACATTTCTTTCTTCTTTTTTCAGTAATTATTTTTCCCCAAAGAGTAGATCACTCCCTATTTCTCTATTTTTTTTTCTTTTGTTTTCTGAAGGCATAAGAGGCATATTTAAACACCTACAAGCAAAGAAGACATGCAGATTAATTGGAAGCTCCAGGGGCTGCAATGGGAACATTAGGAAATCACAAGGTACAGATTGTACTGGAAGGTTCTGCTGCCATGCACATTTCAGCAAAAGGACTTTTGCCAAATTTTAACGTGACCAGAGGATACTGAGTCAGACAGAGGGTCGGAGGGGACATCTGGCTGTCTTCCTGGAAACTTTAAATAAACTACTTTTTAGGACAGCCAATGACAGGATTAGAGAGCCCTGGTTTCCAGCACAAGCTGTGGGAGCCACTTATGTGCTCACAGAGTCATCAAGTGAAAATCTCAAACAACATCAGGAAGAGGAAGCAGAAGCAGTGTCTTCCCTCTGTCTTGGGAATTTCCATCATGTCAGGCCACAAAGTCATGTCCCATTTCACCATCTGCAGTGGTGTCCCACTGCGTGTCCTTCAGCACATCTCCCTCAAATGTGTGTAGGACAGCTTTCAGTCGTCTGCTCTTCCCATCACACAGCAGTCAGCATGTTGCCATGCTAACCTTTCCAAGGAAACCTGAAAGTGCCAAAATGAATTTACTGAGTGCTAACTGGTGTCTACACAATCCCTCAATTTGCTTGCAGACCCATTTGTGTTACACTGAGTGGCTAAAGGCTCATGGAATCATTGAATATCCCAAGTTAGAAAGGGACCCTTGAGGGTCATTGAATCCAGCTTCTGGCTCCACACAGGGACACCCAATAAACAAAACAAGTGACTAAAAGCACTGTCCAACATGTCCTGAGCTCTCAGGAGCTCCAGCACTGGGGCCGTGCCCACAGCCCTGGGCAGCTGTTCCGTGCCCACCGCCCTCTGGCGCAGCCCCTTTCCCTCACCCCCAGCCGCCCTCCCCTGACGCAGCTCCATGCCGTTCCCTGTCGCTGTCACACAGAGCAGAGCTCAGCGCTGCCCTCTGCTCCCTGTGAGGAGCTGTGACCCCATCAGGCCTCCCCTCAGCCTGCTCTGCTCTGGGCCAAACAAATCCAGTGACCTCAGCTGCTTCTCCTATGTCTCCCTCTATATCCTTCACTATCTTTGTATCCCTTCCTCGGATGGTCTTGAGTAGTTTTATGAGCAAGGGTCTCTTATATGCATGGGTAAGCAAGGTCTCACCAGACCCACCTGCCGTAGGATGGGAGCAGAGGCTGCAGGTCTGTGTGTCCATGATCAGTGTGTCTGGGCCTAGGTTACAGGCACATCCACATTCCTGTGGGTGTCCATGCATATATATATGTGGATGTGCATGCACCTTCTGGGAATACCTCTTCTGGATGGACTTTGGGCATGGTGCTGTGCTAATCTCACCTTTGTCAAGGTACTGGATTTGGCATCTCCTAACTCACTGATTCTGCCTGAAGTGTGCCTGATGTCTCTATATAACCAATGGAGAGAGAGAAATCTGGCACTTACCTACCTCTTACTGTTGTTCGGAGACAGCCCTTGCCCAGACAACAAGCACCCATACAATACTCAGGTTACCTTGAATCACCCACCAGGTGCAGGACCATCTGCTCAGCACAGATAAACCCAAACGTGATGCCTAAGAAAGGGAGGAATTATGCTGTTGAGAATAAAGGGCCCTTGTTTTCAGGGGGGTTTCCATTCTTCCCCCAGGCAGTACAGCCTTATGACTCCTTGTATTAGCAATAACCACACTTAATATTCACGCACTTATTTCTTGACAAAACTGCATCTTTTTTGCTTGTCATGAGTCAAGAGACTTCTAAGTATCTCTTTCCTAGGTGCTCTACTCACCATTCCTTGTTCATCAGTTCTACATAGGAGCACAAGCATTGCCCAGGCTCATCTAGCACACTGTTCTTCTAGGTTTATCCACTTTTCGAACCAACTGGAAATGATCGTTAGGCAGAAGTATAAGAGGACAAATATTTCCCCAGAAGAACTTTTGAGCCTCCAACAATTTTCTGTCACAGTGATTTCCACTGACCTTGTGTATAACTTACCTATAGCTTGTACGTGATTCTTCAGGATAGTGTTCTATTCCCCCAGTTATTTATGAAACATTTTAAAATCCTCTAATGGCTTTAATTCTTCTCTTGCTAAGATGAAACTGCAATGCTCATCACTGACTAAATAATGAAAAAATAAACTCAGTATGAATCACAGTGGGGTTTCCCTAAATCAAAGTCCTTCACTGCAGAATCACTGTAGAAAAGGGAACTTTGATTGGTTCCGTGTATTTAACATTGCAAAAAGGAAATAATTCATAGTTCACAGTTCAAAGAATTGTTTGTTAACATAATTGTCACATTTATACTTGCCATTTTTTCTCATGAACAGGTGGCACAAAAAAGTACAGTCGTCATTCTTCCAGGAAGTACTTTTTTGTCCTTTCTGAGCTGTTATGCATATCCTAATCTCTCCATATGTTTCCAATATATTTTGAGGGAACAAAATCAAAATCTTTTCAGAAAACCAGAATGTTATTTTGAAATAAGTTCTTTTCCTTGAAGGATGTTACTTTTTCTGGGAAGACTGAAATGTCAGGGATATAAATCACATCACTCAGTGGCACAATACAGCTGGTTGCCAGTTATTTTCCTCAAGTTAGCAGATTAATTAGGAGTTTTCCCTTAGTGAGCCATGTACATTTTAATACTGATATGAAAAAGCCGAAGGCAACCTTCCAACTCAGATGTTTTGAAGTTTGCACAATCTCTTGATTTACAATCAGCCAACATTGTACATGCTCCAAGACTGTGATCAGTCATGCCATTTACGAACCAGGATGTTGGGACAGTCAGTGGCAGGAGCACAAGTGTGTAGTTCAAACCGCACTGAAGTCCAAAGGCCACTGAGATAGGGCTCAGGATGTGAGGTCCTGAATCAGCTCTAATTATTCTATTGTAGAAGAGCAATGCAATGTGATGGCTCACAGACTGGGGTAGTGCCTGAATTACACCTCAGTGACTCGCACAACTCTCAGATAGGGCATCATCGCTGAAATCAGTAGCACTTTAAGGAGAAGGGAAGGAGTGCCACTTTTCGTGCCAAGTACCTGTTTCCTGAACACACACAATGGAAATCTAATCAGATCCTTCCTCCCTGCTGGAGCTGCTGCCTGGGGTGGGAAACTTCTCTAGCCTATCCTGGGCAGGATTTCTCTGCAGGTAAGTAGGTCTTGGGATGCCTTCAGAACTGACCTCACCAGCTTGAAATCCTTCACCTCTAAACATTGCAGCTGTCATAGAAGATGCAAGATTGTAAAAGTTAACCTGAAAGAGGCAGCAATAAGGATAAATTTCTCTGCACGAATCTGAAAATTCAGTCTGCATATACCCAGGGGCTCTGGTCCATTTGGGACATACTGGATTTGGTGCAGGCTTTTTGTGATCTGAATTCTATAGGAGAAAGAATCACATGATAATCTTCTCCCTTGTGAAGACAATAAAAAGATGAACTTCATCCAATCTTGATGCAAACAGGCTAGAAATCTGGACATATAGAAATACACAAGAAATTGAGGAAACAATTTACTGAAGCCCTTGGTTTGAGTGTGCCACAAACAATGAATGTATCAGCTATGAATCCAGGTGTCAAAGCATACCTCAGAAGAGTACATCTGAAATGTAGGTCAATAACCTTTGGTTAAAAATTCTGTTTTTACAAAAATGACGAGGCTGACTTGCCAGTAGTACCAGGGCTTTTCAAACTAACAATTGGGAAGAAAAATAAGTCACCAAACAACAGTTGAAGAAAAAAAAAAAAAAAAAAAAAAAAGCCCAACAACCAAGCACTGAAATTATTTTAAGGCAGATAGTAACAGATAGTAGTAGAGTCAGTGAAACTCTACTTCTGCTACGTATCAATTTCCAAGCTGACGTCACTGGAAGCTTTCCTATTGGATTCCAACTAACCTTAAAGTTAGAAGTTTTGAACCTGTTTCTCTGACCTTGGCAATGTCAGACACCAATTAGACCTATTCATTGCTTATTTTTGGAGGTGATGTAACTCAAATTAATCATTTTGTCTCCATTTCTGCCAGCGCAGCAAAGACCTGCTTGTCACCTCCCTACAGCAGGGTATGGCAGCATCATCTGCACTGTTTGCTGCAGGAACAAATGGCATTTCTTTTGTCCTGCAGACTGAGAGTGTCTTACTGTGCTGTGGGCTTTGATGAAATGCAGATTAAACTTTCTCATGGTCTAAATTCACACTGGAGTGTCCCATTTGAGTAACCCTGTTACTAGAGGCTTTAAAAATGTTAGCCATTCTGATGTTAATTATGTACATATATGTATGTATCAGTATGCTAAATACTGTTTTTCAGTTATTTACAGAAGCACAGAATGAATATGCAGGGAGTGATGTATGATGACTGAGTCTGAGCACCTATATGTTTCATATATTTACAGAAGAAATAGTGTTCATAGTGCAGTGATACTGCATTCTTTCCTACACCATTGCAGATTTCCTTTTCTTAACAAGGAAACCAGAAGTTTGTCTTTAGCAGGCGTGTTACTATCTTCTTATCAGGGTCAAACTCAAATTGCTTTCTTCCTTGAAAGAAATCAAGGAAGTCTAGGAAAAAAAAAAAAAGAAAAGAAAAGAAAAAGGAAGGCGGGTTAATTAAGTTATTGCAGGTGTAAAGCTTAATAGACTTTAACAGCTGGAAAGAGTTCTAAAAACTTTGCATATTTCACATACACTCACACTGCCAACAGTATCTGCTCCCAGGGATAATGTTTGCAAAGTGGTGCACTAGAGCTTGGGATCACTGCTCTTCAGTCTGTCCCAGCATCTCTCTTTTGAACTCACATCCTTTGTCATGCAGGAGAAACAAGTGCTAATTATTATTCTCAAGGTAATGACATGTCACGATGTGATAGCCTTGCTCACAGCAGGTAGACCTTATGCTGCTGAGACCTCAATGTCTTAACTGGTACTCCTCATGGCTTAAGTTACACATGGACATGAATGCAGATATTTCAGTCTGTCCGTTAGGGATGGCTATTTCAGCTGTGAAACAATTTTCAACCCTACATCAAATGTAGATATCATTATTTTTCAAGAGGGGAAAATGAAGCATGCGAGTGCTACGTGACTGTTGTGGTGTCTCAAGGGTCAGCCTCGGGATTCTGAGGAGCCTGAAGAAAAGTCTCTATCTGTCCAAGCACTTGCAGTCCTACGACCCTGAGAGTCCCTGGGTCATTCAATTCAGGTTCACTTGAGAAAAGAGACTCACTTTCATGCTGAAAAACAGCATCAACTTTTGCATTAATTCCTGGAAATGCATCTTTTATCAGTCTTGGCTTCCTGTCCATGGACTGATTTCTTTTATCATAACTGAGAAAAACAAGAAACAACCTGATGTCAATTAAAAGTGCAAACAATTCATCATTATTTCAGCTCACATCAATACTTCCCACCCAGGGAGCCAAGTTCACTGAGGACTTTCAGCAATATTCAGACAACCTTGAGACAGATCTGAGGTTCATAAACCATTATTTACTCAATGGGCCACACAGGAAGAATTACTTCTGTTTACATCATCTCAAGGTATGTCTAAGAATACTCAATATTTAAGCCATTGTCACAAATCTGCCCTTTTTTGTATTGTTTTATTTTTAAGAAACTGTAGATAAGAGCTAGATTGAAAATCTTATCTCAAACATAAGTTACATTTGTGAAATTATTAAGAGATTGCTTTAATGTTCCTTGTCTGTAAGAAATGCTTGTTAGGAAAAATCTAATTTTTTCTTAAGTTATAAGATATTTGAAGTTATTTTATCTAAGCTACCTACAGTAGGTATTGAATTTTAAGTGAAATTCAATTTATCTGTCAGCATACTTAATCACAAGGCTGAAACATTCTATTTCTGATATGTTTGTTCAGCAAGAACAAATATATCAAACAATATCAGGAAAACGACTCAGGACTCCAGGCTGAGATTTTTAATGAAAACATGGAAGTGTAATCTCCTGCTCAAATTAGTAGTTTGTAGCTGGTTAGTTACTCCAGGATGCTCTCTGTGTGTATGATATACTGTACAGGGAGGATAGATATTGTCTCATTCACCTACAAAAGCTAAGGTTGCCTGCTGCTTCTGATATAGGAGCATCTCCTTCAGCTGTTAGAAATATAGGGCTGCAACATGGATCTGAGCAGCTGAAGACCATTAGTCTGCAGCTTCATGAGCTTTCTGTTGGCAACTGGCATGAAGGTGGAATTCTTCTTAACCTGCAGGAGTGGCTTTGATGTAAGTCATGTGTCATTTTTGTTCTGTCCGATTTCATGATGTGATTTCTGCAGCTGTAAGATGGCTTTTTTTTCCAAGGTAAGTAAATTTATGTAAATAAATGAACACATAACGTGTGTTCTAAATAGCAAAGCACTTAAAAGGAAAACTAAAAACATTGCTTCATTTCTTCTTCCTCTTTCATTTCCCTCAAATATTTCTTTTTTTCTATAGAATTTTGTGAAAGAGATGACCAAAACTAATGTGTGACTAATGCATCCTAAGTCATGACAAGATATTGATCACAAGATTATGCTTGATTCATTTTAGGAAAGTAATAGATAGTATCACCTCCAAAATTTGTCCGCTGTGAAGTAATATACTCTCCCCTTATTTCTGTCATAAAAAGCAGCATCAATTTTGGCAACATCCTTTGAAAATCCAAGGGCGTAGAGTTTTTGTGGGTATCTGGGTGGTATGGTTTCTCTTCTCACAGCCCAGAATTCATTCCCTATTAAGAAAAGTTCATGAGAACGTGTTATCAGAGTCTTCCAGGAATTGTGTAAACCTTTGCATGAAAGCTTATCTTTTAATGAAAAAGAAACCACAGAGAGATAATACCGATTACTTGAAAACGTTTCGCATATTGTTCTGCAGCCCAAGAAATCCAAGAATTGTACAGTGCACCATATTTTACAGAAATGAAAACTTCAGTCTCCCTCTCTATTTATCTTAGTTTTCCACAAGCTGTGACTGAAATACACTAATTCATTGGACTAAATTAAAATTAAATTAAAATTCAGGGAATCCTACAGAAAGAGTGTGTTTTCCAATCCAGACATGATCTCTTAAGCTATTAGGACAGGTAGCATTGGAATGTAGAAGACATTTTACCTTTAAAGAGGAGAATTTTGTCTTCCTCAGGAATTTCATATGCAGCGTCAACACCAGATGGCAGCCGTGGCCAGAATAAAGATACCAAATCAAAATCAACTTCTCTGACTGCAGGATGCTTGCGCCAAAAATGCCTGATGTAAATATAGCACAGGCTTTGGATACAATCAAACATTTACACACACTAATGCATAAAACCACATCGTGGCAGTCAGGACAGGATTTAGCTGACTAAACGCAGTCATGTCCCCTGTGTTAGTCACCCTAAACTCCTTGTAATAGCGGTGAAAAGAATGTCATTTCCATGGTGACGATTCCTTTCTTCTTGATACAGACATTCAAAAGAGGTCAGATGAACCATTCCTTTCAAACAGCCATTAGTTTCCTTTTACGCAGATGACCTAGAGGGACCCAGTTCATGTCTAAAAGCCAGTTTGGGGTACAGTTCTGGGAACAAATCTCCACCCCATGGTTATTAGCACCAGCTCAGAGAAATGATTGGAATGTGCAAGTATCTTCTTCAAAATACCACATTTCTGGGTTTGAGAACTCAAATCCTTGAAGTTGAAGGTCCCTTTAGTGCTGATTTTGAGGGAAGCAGGGGGAAGCACAGCCCTATCTCTTGCAAGGGGAAGGAATCACCTCTCACACACCTTCTCTCAACTTTCTGGGCTGACATGCCTTTGAAGATGGGCTACTTATTTGACCTTAGCTCTATATTAATTACCTTTGCCTTTTACTATTATACTAAGTCACCAGTTCAGGGGATCTACAAGCAGGTGTAATGTCAAGATTGGTAGAACCTCAGATATTTCAAAGCAAGGATGCAATGAAAGTGTTGAGCATATCAGGGCTGGTGGTACCTTCTTCTGATGCTGAACGCGTTGGATGCCAACTATTAAGACTTGCTCCAGTCTAAAATGAAAGCTGCCTGTATTTTCATAGGAGACATCTTTGCCCATTCTGTTCATCCTGTTTCATTTGTGATCTTCCTCCTCTCTTTGTTTCTCTACCACCTTCCTCCTTTTTTCCTCCAATCTCTTACCCAGAATTCTTGTTCTTCATTAGAATCTTAATATTTTGATGTGGGAGAGGTTTCTAATTCTTAAAAATAATTATTTGTTGTTTAAATCAGTGAGTACTCTGGAACCAAATAAGAATCAGGAATTTTAGGTCTTTAGCATAGATCCCGCTATTAAAGATTATTGAAGTGAAAGAATCAGAATTACCAGCAGATGGTAAATAAAGATATAACGATAATAGTTAACCCTCTGTAATAAGTAAGAATACTGTGCTTGTTTCAATTGCAACAGCCAGATTGCTTTATAATTAATGCCTTCCACAATTTGGACTGTGAATTGAAGCTTGCAACCACTCAGGTGAATTTTTCTGCAAATAATAAATTATCCTAATACATAAATATCCCCTGTGAGATCTAGGCACTCCTTTTCAGTTATATGGTATCACCAAATGCTAAAGTACTAACAAGACCATGGTCAGCATCAGTGTTACAGCACAGGCTGTGGTTCATAGAACAGTTCTCAAATTAGCCCTTTACCTGAAAGGTTAGATCTCTCTCTTATCTGAACCCCTTTAAAGTCACAGTGAGAAATCCCAGCTTAGGAATATTCAAAATAAAATCATTTTTTTCTGTGCTGTAGGGCATAATTTATAAATGATAGATGGCTATTTTGGTTTCTGAAAGCTGACTTACTTGTCTTTAAAGAATATTATCTCTCCACAGAAAGTGGTGACAGCATCAAAAGTTAAATCAGGGCCACAAGAGTTTGGCAGTGCAGGTTCTTTTGACTCAGTTGGATCCTTTTTTTCAGCAGAATCTCTTTGGTGATTAGAGGTTTTAGGAGAAGGTCCTAAAGGAATCAGTTAATGGAAGATACTAAAAATGCAAATTTGTTCAAATAAATCCAGTATGCAAAGGTACTCCAAAGGGTTTGGAATTACAAGCAATAGCTGATAAATAATTGGGAATTACCATAGAGGGACTGAATGCCATTAATATCATCCTGATGAAGAGGGAAGACTGAAGGGTCAATTTTCCTATAAACTGGGTACATTAGAGCTTTGGGGTCTTTGGAATGGAAAAGTCCAAGTGAATGTCCAAACTCGTGGGCAGCCACATAGAACAAGTTTGCCTCTGAAAACAACCAACAAACAAAAGGCATAAAGGGAGATACGTGTATTTCATTTGTAACTCAAAACATGCAGGCTTTAAGAACCGCTGTCAGAACTGCTTGAAAGCTGGAAAATCCAGTTGGAATCAAAATTCACATCAGAAAGAAACGTAATGAAATTGTTAGAGTAGAACCCAAGGAAGGAGTACTGCAGAAGTCAGCGTGGAAGAACCCTAGAATTGTACATGTGACATAAATGTGTGGGAAGAGGATGGAGGGTTGGGGAGAAGCTCCCTGAGCTCCCTCCCACAGCATCTCTACTCAGCCCAGGGTAAAAGTTGTACTGATAATAACTTTTCAAATCAGAAAGCTCAGGGACTGAGCTGGGGGACAGAAAGCAGCTGCCCAGTCATCTCCTTCAAATCAGCCCCATTTTAAAGTACTTGAGCAGAGTGGAGAGACAGACCTTGTATTCCTTCTGTTTGGGCTATGAGAACTGAATTTCCTACCTTCTGTGCTTTTGGTCCAGGTTTCATCCTCATCAAAGTGTGCATCTCCACCAGTGTCTTTGCCGGGTGCATAGGCATGAGCAACAGACCCTCCTGGGCCATCAAAAGGGATGAAATCGTTGTGACCTGAGGAGTGAGTCCCACAGACAGCTGACTGAAGGCTACAGCAGGAGAGGTAACAGACTTCAGTCAAGCACAGAGCTTTCTAGTCTGCTGATTTTGTAAATTTTCAAGATTCATTTCTACAACGGTTTTTCAAAAGGCCAATTTTGCAAAGGGAAAAGGGATAAATCAGGAATGAAATCTTGGCCTCCTTAAGACATGGGTGGACATTTATGTATTTACTCCATGAGGGAAGAGGAGGGGGACACGGTTTTGCTTGAAATACATTCTCTTACTTGCTCATAAGTTAAAATTTTCTCAAGCTCTGTGTCAGCAGCCCTCAGATGGTTTCCAACTGACCCTGACCTGAAGTGGTAACTGAAGTGCTGATGGCAGAAGGAAGGTTGTGGGGAGACTGTAATCCCTCCTCTGGAGAGCCTTTGAAGGTCAACTCCAGAACAGTGTATGTGAGCATAGATTTAATGGTTATGTCCAGTGCCTAGATGTGTGGATAGGTATATTTGGTTGGAAAAAAGAGGAGCTGACTAGGAAAGTGCATGCATGCACAGCTGTTCATGAAAGGAGAGAAGGTAAATTTTCCCTGAGGGCAACTCCAAAAATACAAGCCTTGAGTATGTCTAGAACTTATTTAGCTCACATAAAGCCCATGACTAATCCTAGGAGTGTACTAGAGCTGCCCACGCCACGGTGCTCTGAGCATGATCATACTCCACAAGTCCTGAGCCTCCTGTCGTAGAGCATGCATTGGCATCAAACGCTAAGTATAGATTCAGTGAACTATAGTAGCTCACTCCATTTACTTTCTCCTTCCTTCTTTTCATTTCTCTCTTAATCTCCCCCCAGACATCTTCAAGAATCATCACTATAACAACTTGGGCAAGGTCTGTGTTTTTCTGTGCATTACATGAGAATAAATCACGACTATTTCAGACGAACTGCTTCACACTGGCAGAAGTTGGGAATAACTCATTATGCTTATGTAGACTTTTACCTCCAGTTGCAAAGGAGATCATTATGTCTGCATCACCTCTGCCCTTCTTGATGAATTTCAGTGGGGTCACACTGCTCCAAATGCTGAATGCTTTCTTGATTGCTGCATTGACATCTGCTGGGTGTAAGTCTGGTGTGTAGTTTAATATCCTTTAAAATACAAAATAGAAAAATAACTGCATTCAACTTAGCTACATAACGCACTGTCTGTACATTAAGGATTCCATTATAATTACCTGTATGTCAGAACTTGTTTTGCCCATTTTGGCTCTCCTGCAAAGGTGGAGAACCCAGCGACATCAGGGAATCCACAGCGACTTTTCCGCACTAGGTCCAAAGTGCTGGAATCTGGTCTCCCTGTCACCTCCAGCCCAAAGAATTCCTGCATTTCTTTTATTTTTTTTTGCCACTGCACTGTTACTTTTCCAAATGAAAGATTCTCCATCTTCCTTAAAGCCGTAGTAATTTTCCAAGTACTTCTAATGGAAACAAGATATTTTAGGACAGTCAAATACGTTTATCTTTGAAGCTCTTAAAGATTATACTAATACTTCTTCAGACCTGTTTGATACTTTATTTGATATTTTATGTTTCTTGAGAACATGGATAACAGAGCTTGTTATAGACTATCTGGATGTTTTTCTCTTAGTGAGTTCTTTTTAGATTATATTATGACTACATTATGGCTTTGCATTTTACTCAGAAGACATTCTGATTCATTATTTGTCTAATAAGTTGAATGTTTTCTGCTAGTGTGCCTTCTACCTGCTCTGTGCTCCGGGGTTATCTAGAGTCTTTTAAAGCCAGCAGTGAAAAAACGGAAACATACAAGTAACTACAAAATTTAGGTAGCAGTATCCTATACACACATATTTTTTAGAGTAATAATTTGGAAAAAAATAAAATCCACATCTTATGAAGAGCTGCATCTCATAATACCAGAAGTCACATAAATTACTACATTTCCACCTATAAATCAAATGTATACTGACTCAGATGTTTCATTATTTGTAGAATCAATTCATCACTGATGTAATTAACGCATCATCAGTTTTAATTGCTCTCTGCAAAAAATAAAACAGGGATGAGTCAAGATTAAAGAAGCTTTTGCTGTCACAGTACGTAATGCAGGTCCACTCTGAGAAATAATCTTGTTATTCATTCTAATGGAATTTGCAGTACATTTTGCAGTGTATAGTAGCTCCCCAGTTGCTATATACTAGTATTATTTCAGATACTACAGGGGATGCTAGACAGTTGTTAGAGACCTCAGCCCCTGAGGTCTGCCATCCTCACCTGGATAAGCTGCGTGCCTTTTTCCTTCTTTTGCCTTTTATGTGCAGGAAAAGCATGAGAAAGTGCTGCATATAATAGCAGGAGAAATTGAAGGTTCTTCATTTTCTTTTTCATTTGCCCCTAGAAAAGTTTTCCTTGGAGTAGGTCACACACCTGCTTCACCTTTATAGAGCTCTCATTTGCTTTATGAAGCTTCCAGTCTCTGACTCACTGCTTCTCACAACCTTCAGCTAGCAACAGAGTACATGAAAAAAATAGTTTTAACATAAAAAGATTTGTGCTGTCTTTCATCCTGTTCCAAGACCGAGAGATTTGAACCTTTGCTTTGACACCTCCCGCAGCAGTGT